TTATTTATTTATTTAGGGCCACTTAGGTTGCCTTCAGGGCAGGTTTGGTTTGACTTGAGGATGAGGGGATCGAAACACAGCATCCTAAGCCTGACTGCTTTGTTTCAGCAGGCACTTAAACACCTGAGCTAATGGGCAGGCCCCCAAAAGAACCAAATTTAAATGTCATGTATTTTCTACAAACCTTTAAGATGAAACTGTGCCATATACATGTCCTTTATGTACACTGTGTGCCTTGAAGAGACACTGCATCACTTCTTTTAATGCATTTATAATTAAGACTGCTACTTGTACACAGGTACTTTGGAATAAAGCAGAAAAGCTGAGCATTTTTGGAATAAAGCAGAAAAGCAGAAATTCTTACTCTGGCTCGTTCCAAGCTTTTTATCTGTTCATGGAATGCTGCTGGGCTCTTCAAAGCTGTGAAGAGAAAACAGTTTACACAGTATAAATAAAAGAGTTTATATTTCAGCCCAGTATATTGTGTTGATAATCCTCTTAGCGCACGTCTGTAGTTCCATTTATTTTTTTTTTTTCAGATGTGCAGAATTTGAAACTTCAAATGTTACAGCAGACTTAAATTTATGTATTTCACAACTAAAGTAGACATTTTAAATAGGAATTGAATATATAATGCAAGCAAACACTGATCAGATGATTTTTCACCACTACTAGAACAAATTTCCATTGCTCAGGAAAATGTCTGATGCCTTGATATGTTTTTGGTATTAATGGCCATATATGACACTGGAAAAAAGTCTAAATATCCTCAAAAGGAATCTATACTTGAACACTAGGACATATAGCACTCCAGGTCTAAGAGATCTGAGGTACCATTTATTCAGAACCTACAATGCCAGGACAAGGCACAGTTTATTGCTGTTGATCTTCATAACAACCTTGCAGAATAGATGAAAGGCTCAAAGACAGTGAGTGAATTTTTTGAGGTCACAGAATTAGATAGTGGTCAAAGTGGAGTTTAAGTTGAAGAGTTTGTATTTGAGAGGTTTATATTCTTTCTAGGATACAATGTAATTAAGTCTCAAGACACAGTGACTCTAAAACTGCCAGTGTATTAAATATTCTGGGATCTCTCCAAGAGGGTACTTACCAAAACATGACCTACTACAACACTTCTATTACATAACATGAAAAAAAATCTGTTTTGTATATATCCACCACTGCCTGACAACAACCTGCATGTATATCCATGGTCAGGTGAGTGGATGGCATATATTGTAGGACTAAGATTCCTTGGGCTTATCAGACTTGACCATTCAGCCTGTCAAAATTTTCAGCACCTGATACTTGAAGTACTACAGAGAACCTCAGGATCCCAACCCAGAAAGGTTTGTGTAGAGACCAGCTCTCAAAAACAGTGGTGTATTAACTATCAAAAACTTGATCCTGTTTGATTGATTGGGTCACAGAGATCAATGTGGTGAAGAAATGTGGCAGATTATCCAGTAGTACTTCAAGTAGTAGCATATCAAGTTATCTACTGCAATATTAGTTTTAAAATATTTAGGTAGCCAATTAATAGCAGTCCAGAAAAAGTTGTACTGGGATAAAAAGAAAAACCTACTGCAGAGAAAAATAATTTCTTACTATAAACCATTAAATGATTTATAGGCTAATTTCTAATGATTTACAAGACTGGGAAGTATACATTCATTTTATAATTTCTAATAGGTTAACTCTTGGAAAAAATTTTTAGATAAAACTCAGATAAATAATCCTGTAGTCACATAAAACAACCATTCTCCTATAAAATATAAAAATCTTCCACAGCTAGTGATTAAAGGTAAAGAAACAGCTCAGACAAATATTCCAAAATTAACGAACTCTAAAATCTCTCGAAAGGAATGAATTCTAGAGATACTTAGGCAATGCCTGTACTTGGACCAAAAAGACTTTATTGATTATAAATAGAATGGTTACCAGTCTTACAACTGAGATACATTTACTTACATAAATGACAGCATAGCACCAAAGATAAATTAATATAAATTAAGTCAATTTAAGTAGGACATAGTTGTGAATTTTACTATGTTACTTTTACAAGTCTAATCTCAATTCTAATACTCCGGTTTCTCTTCAGATCGTATAAATCTTTCGCCTTTTATAATCTCAGCTTCACAAATGGAGTGGCTGCTTCAATTAACTAAAAACTAAAACAAACACTAAAGTTTGGATAAGAATTTTTAGTGTCTTAATGATGTTCTTTATACCACATATTCTATATGATTCTCTTAGGCTGACACTGTTGATGCCAGACACCCCCAATAATTCAGCTGGTGACTGGTGACTGGAGGGAAGGTAAGTGGGGTACATAGTCTCTTTGGACATTCCCATCTTGCTACAGCACCCCAGGCATGACAGTGATGTGGCAGTCTTACGTGGCATGATGCCCTGGTCCACTAGTTGTTCTCTTGTCCTCCTTTGTTGCAGCCTTAGCTGGAGCACTGTGGAAAGAAAAATAATCACCACAGGAATTACATATAGAATTATTACATCACCCAGTAATTTTTGTTCCTAGATAGAATTCCAAGAGAAACAAACTGAAAAAATATGTACACATAAAAGCTTGTCCTTCCATGTCCATAAGCAGCATGGTTCAAAATAGCCAAATCTCCATCAAAAATCAAAACGTGATTTTTGTACCAGTTCTGGAGGGGATACTGTTAAGCCTTATTAAGCATTATTTCATAACCAAATAAGAATATTACCTGGTACTATCCAATTTCAAAAAGAAAGTAATTTTGTGATTCTGTCTGTTGGGTGAACTCTAAAGTTTACTCACTGCAGTATTTTTTTTTTTTTTCTTCTTCTTTGTTTCTTTTTTCTTTTGTATGGGAGACTGAACTCAGGACCTTGGGCTTGCCAGGCAGGCGCTTATTCCACTGAGCTATATCCCTGGACCCACCCAGTGTAGTATTCTGTTTAGTTAACAATCTTAATTTGCTGACTAAAGCTAACTACTTTCTATTTAAATGTATTCACATGGTACTCAGAAAATAAATAGAAATAAAGAAGTTTCACTCAGAGAAAGAGCGATGTAAGCTTCTTTAATGTTCTTTAGAGTTAAAAAAAAATGTTCTTTAGAGTTTTTTTTTTTTTTTTTAATGGCTAACAGCAAAAATTTACTTTAAGGAAAGACTGGCTTGTTTGGAGGCATTTATCCTATCATGAATCCTTTCTATCCTTGCTCAATACTGGGAAATAAATCCAGGGCCTTTGCTTTGAACTCTATGCCCCACCCATTTTATTTATTAACTTTTTTTGAGACAGTCTAAGTTAGGTTGCCCAAGGTGGGCTTGAACTTGGAATCTTTCTGCCTCAGCCTCTCAGTGTTTGTATTACAGATCTGTACTACCATACCTGGCTTCCATCAGGAATATGTTTTAAGTGACTTTAATGAGGCCTACCTTCATAAAAATCAGATCTATAAATATTACTAATGATCCAAAGGAAAATTTCCAAATTAAGAATTTAATTTTACCAATTTATGTACAAACATACATGTCTTATTCTAAAAGTTCAAAAAAAATCAACTGACAACTTATCATTTTAATAAAACAAAGTAAATTATTAGAACTGGTAGGTAACAATACATTATGTAATGAAACATGGGCATTAAGCTTGCCAAATCTAATCCAAACTTCTTTTCTAGAATTCTTAAGCATATTCATTTTATAATATCTATATTTTTTATATGGAAAATAAGCCTACTTTTAAAATGAAGAATGCATGAGGTGATGTTAAAAATATTTTTCCTGGTTAGCCTTACATTAAATTTTAAGTTTCCATTTTCATTTTTGTTTCACACCACGGATGGAAACCAAGTTAGGATCATTAAGGGTTGGTTTAAGGGCTGCTGACACACAAAAAGAACAAACCAACAGACAAACAAAAATTCCCCAAAACCTATGTGTTTTTTTAATTGTGGAGAGAAAACAGTGAAATTCCTAAGGAGAAGGGGATGGTGGAACCAGGCCTGGCTCAAAGTACAGTCCATGTGGTCAGTGTCTTCTGCTTGGAGTAGATCCCGAAGGTGCAAGGACCATGGCTCTGACAGCTTTGCTGGGCTTGGTCTTGTGCTCATTGCGGAGCAGAGCTCAATCCGATACATGCTTCAAAAAGGGCCTAAACTGTAAAATGACTTTTTCAAATATTTTCTTATTCTTACTAGATGTTAATGTTATACTTTACTGAATACAGAAATGTGATTTTTTGGGGTTTTGCTTGTTTGGGGACCACAGGACCACAAAGCCTCACTGAGATCTCATTTAGAACTGAAGCCAACTGATGTAAGATTTTATTAATAAAGCAAAAGACAAGTTGAACAAGTTTAAATAGAACTTACATGTTTCTAACTTTAAAATGTTTTGTGAGGTTTTCAGTTAGCTGTATGCTAACAAAGATCTCCTAGATCCAGGTTATGGAGGATAGTGTATGCCAAGGGCAAAAATAATAATTGTGGATGTGACAGCACCCAAACACCTGCCTTCTTTAACATCCTTCTATGAATACTAAAATTTATCCTCGGTGGCACTTAGAATGGTCATACATAAGAGTCAGGATCCCAAGGAAAGGAACTTGAGAAGAGGTGTTGGAGTGATTCCTCAGCTCAGAAGTGGGCACTTTGGAGCATGCAGTCCCTGTCGAGGATCCAGCTACGGTAGCTTTTTTTTTTTTTTTTTTTTGTAAGGGGGATCCTCAAAGGTGTCAAAAAGAAAGGATAACAAACACATGAAGTCACTATTTTTGTTTTGAAACAAACAAAAATAAACTCTCTAACACTTTGTATACCTATAAGACAAATGTACCAAGCACAGTACATTTTTTGGGTAGCTGGCATATCTGAATGATGTACACATGTGCAAACCAACACAGATGACAACAGCTTGATAATGCTAGAAGTACTGGTCATTTTGGGAGCCTTCCTGTACCAGAAGAGCAGTTCTCTTGCTGTGTCACTGATGAATAGAAACCACACTCTTACTGGTGTGAGAAGCTGTCTATTATCGTAAGAACATATTTTGCTCTGACTTCTTTTTAGTCCCAACACTTCTGATACCACATGTATGTGTGTTTTGCCTATATCAATCCATTTTCTGACTCTGACACCAAGTACATGTGGTTAGGGTCAGACTCACAAGACTGCCCCCATTTCAAACAACACTAGTCTAGGCCACTCATGCTACAATTTTTGGGATTCCCTTAACACCCTTCTCAGGTTCTAGAATTGCAATTCAGCGACAACCAAATGGAAGAGATGCATAGGACAAGGTAGGGGAAAGAAGCATAAAACTCATAGGACCTCCCTAGTCATACCATCCTTTTTCTCATCCTGTCTCTTCCCTGAAGACCTCTAAAGGCCTCCAATTACCTGGCATTACTTAGCATATCAAAAATTCTCTTGTCATCCTGGAGATTCCAAGAATCTTAGAAGTTTTTATGTCAAGAAGTAAGATAAGAGACTGGGTGTGGTGGTGCATGCCTGCAATCCCACTGCTTGGAGGCTGAAAACAGGAGGATCACTACCTGTGTAATGAGACCCTGCAGACCCTGTACTAAACACATTTAAAAAAAAAAAAAGTAAGATAAAATATAACAAAAGATGCTCATATCACCTCGGTTACTCAGGAAATCTTAAGGTTTTAGGAGCTCCATGCCAGTAAGCAGAAACAAAGCCAATACACATTTGCTCTTAGATCACAATGTTACAGGCACTAGTCACCGACTGTTAAAATACAAATGCAACCATTTGCATTTCTACCCAATTTTTTTATGTTGTCAAACAAGCCTAGTTATGTCATCTTACTTGTTTCTTCCCAATTAATGCTCTCAAAATTACCCATACAACTTTCCAAGAAGCAAGAACTTCACACTGCAAATATTACTTAAAAAACAGTTGTAAGCAGCAGCTCCCCCCCCCCACCGAGGCACATTGATTTGCTTAGCCATACCTATATGGTATGCTGTAATATGGTATTGATGGAATGCAAACCCGTGGGAAAGAGCAGTAGCACCCGCGAGGGGAAAATCAGGTTTTAAACAAAGACTCTGAGAGGAATGTGAGTGGAGGAAAGCAGACTTGCAAGTATCTGGTCATGTAGCTGGGTCTGTTGGTAACCCACCCTTTCCTTTTTCATCTACACTAACAACATAAACAATAATAAACACATGATATTGATTATGAGTACAATGTCTTAACAAGAAACTCAGGTACACTCAGAATGTATGTATTTCAATAACAGCATCTGCCAAGCATGTGAGGCCCTGGTTCAATCCTGAGCATAAGAGAAGGGAAAAAAAGGGAGGAGGGAAACTGGGACAGGGAGGGAGGGAGACAGACAGACAGACAGACAGACAGGCTGAGGAGAAGCGAACATGGTATCACAGACCAGAAAATATACTGCCACTTGTGATAAATTTTAAAACACAATTATAAGCCAGGCATGGTAATGCATGCTCATAATCTCAAGTATTCAAGAGGATGAAGCCAACCTGAGCAACAGAGCAAGGACCCATTTTAAAACAAAACAACCAGGTGTGGTGGTGTACACCTGTACTCCCATTACTTTGGAGGCTGTTCCACAAAGATTGTCAGGAGCTTGAGGCCAGCCTGGCTTACATAATGAGTCAAAGGCCAGCCTTAACTCCACAGCAAGACCCTGTCTCAAAAAGGCAGACCAAACACAATTATTGTTCACATCAAATACAATCTGCCACTAAAAACTTGACAAGGCTATTCTGAGAACAACTATCAGTTTAAAATGTGCCAGTAAAAAAGTTTAAGCTTATAATTTTAGAAAGTATAAATTTTCTTTTCTCATTCTACAAAAAACGTAGTTGTAATAAATGACAACAGATGGCTGCACCTCATAGGCAGAACATCCAAGGCCAGGAAGAGCAAACTTGAATGATGAAGATAGCCTAAGTGTCTTTCAACATTGCAAGATGGAATTTGTAGAGAATTTGTTGGTACTTGTCTAGTATAGTAGAAAAGGACCCTGAAAATAGAGACCCCAACTCTTCTAGTGATCAGAGACATTCATAGTTGTGGGCTCAAGTTATCAAGCAGACCTCCTCCCTCCTTCTCTCCCTCCTTTTGCAGCCCCCATATTCAGCCTAGGGTGCTTCCATCCCTATGGAGGGAGAGAAGACTCAGAATACTTAATGTTACTAACACAGCTATAGTTCTTAACAGCACTGACTATGCTGTTATACTGGCTGATCTCTGGAAAAGTTGACACACAATGTATGTGCTGACAAGATTTCATTTCTGCAGCTGAAGACTAGATACTGGTCCAACTCACTATCCTACGGTGCTGGTGGCACAGCTGCCTAAGAAGCCAGTCTCCCTTGGCAATGGCCTCATGTACGAAAACTGAACCTGAGGACCTTTTCCCCCTGTGCATTGCTGAGTAGATAACTGTGCTACTGGGCTTCCTGGGCT